CTGGACCCTTGTTGAGCTTTCACCAAGGACTGCTGCTGCAACCGTTGGCCATGTTACGGCCGAAAATTTGAGGACGGTCATGTGGGTGTGTGTTTAGGTGCCTCACTAACCTGAAGAAGCAGGACGGCAGAACCGATTCGATGCCTTTAGTAACAATGTTCTCCACATAAGTCGTCATTTACTGCGAAATTAGACTGTGACCGTGGAAGAAATTTGGAAGATCTTGTACTCGGAGCCCAAACTCATCGATTTCCAATGAATGTGGATGGGCTCGTATTATGTTATGCGGGAGCTAAAGAGTATGGCCACCTTAGTTATGGATTCCTAAGATGTTGCCGTTGCGTGCTCTTGTTCAAGAAGCCAAAGTTCACTGTCATCGTGTATTGCTTGTTCTTCGAAGGCCAGATCAAATGTATGGTACCACACAGCTACAAGGCAATCATTGTCAATCGAAATAGTAGCCCTTAATGTCGTATGTGACAAGACAATCGTAATATGCCATGTTGGTCGGCACCGCGATCGAGGCCGTGCGCGAGAGACGAATTATTTTCCCTGGCCATTTGAAATATCGAAGGAACGAAAAAATTCTATGCCCTAGGTCTCCCGCTTGCATTCATAACGCGTTCGCTACTCCTAATCAACGAACCGATACACATCAAAAATCTGCCGCGTATGGCCGCACGATACGCCGCGCGCGACGGCGCGACAAATGGCGATTGTCTCTTGTCCGTCTATTATGCCCAACTAATGCCACTATTCAACAGAATTCCAAAGCAAGGAATATTGGGAACTGGACTCTGTCGGTCTGCCATTCGCGCGACTTCCAGCCGTCTGGCTCCAACTATTTGGGTGAACTGAAGGCCCTGCTGCAAATGCCACGAAAACATTCGCCAAAACTGGCTCTGACAGCCCCTATGCACCTCCGCTTTTAATGAGAGCAGAAGCTTTTCGGTGCAATTGCTCCTTACCATTAGACGCGGTTAGCACCGACGACGCGGACTTAACTTAAGACTGAAATATTACTTATTCATGTTCTCTTTTTGAACGAGCTGACCTAATATTGTAGAGCCGTTTTGGCAGTCTCAGGTGCTGTTTTTGTTTGAAGATATTGTTCGAGATTGCTAGGTGGGCGGAGACAGTGAGCGACGCCATTGGGGCTCTTCTGTCCCGTTGTGGCGAAAGCCGGGAAAAGTAGAAGCGTGCCCATAAAGTCATCACTTGGCCCCGCCCGGCAATCCTAAACGAACGGCGTTTTTTTTGACATTTTGGCGGAAATTCTAGTCAATTTGAGTATCTACTGGATTCAGTAAAGGTCCCGCGAAATGAGCCAGTGTTTCAACGCAAGTTAGTTATCATCACAATGCAGCTTCACTAAACTGATAGCGCTTCGTTTGTGATAAGTGATCTTCCACGATATCAAGTGGACGATATCGGTCCATGATATCAATGGCTTGATCGATATCGGTCAACGATATCAATGGCTCGATGGATATCAATTCCATTTCGAAAGACGTAGCCGCTTGAGGTAGGTGGATTTCCCTTTCTTAAATCTCGAAGGTGCAGACAGGGCACGCCGTGGAACTGAGCATAAGTGGTCATATAGCGTGACCCGCCTGAGTCTGAAATTCGAGCTTTACCTGCGCCACTGTTTTCTTTGGCGTTTATTGTGGACGTAACCCTCCCTCGAACAGGCTGGTTACGTCTCCACTAGAAGCTCATCCTAAAGCAGAAGCCAGTTACAAGTAAGATGAACAG